ATCAATATTGATGCTTAGAAGTAAAAGTACTATATTTGCAGTAGTAAATGTTTTTAAGGTCCCAGGGAAATTTCATTCCAAAAAACCTACAGTAATTTACTATAGTTTCAGCAGCCCCAGAACTATTTTATGGGATTTATATTGTCACTAAAGAAGAATTTGTTTTTAAAGGCACATGGCTGTTCCCTGTATACTGGTACACCTGAAAACTGGTGGTTACCCCTTTATCTAGACTGGACTAGGAAATACTGACGTTTCAGCTGTGATATAATAGGACAGTTCTGTATAGGCAACATCTAAGGATGTTGTTAGCTGCTCTACAAAGAGATAGTAAGATAAATGGTCTGGTTGTCATTTACATAAAAGGCTTGGACGTACGCTTGCACTGCAGTAAGTTAAGAGATGACGACAGAGTTTTGGTCCGTGTTAACCTTCCTTCTACTTGCTTTTACTTTGAGGAAAGTGAAGAAACATAGCCCTATTTCAGTTCATCACTTAAGCCTCACACAGGCCTTCAAAGCAGAGTTTAAGGGAAGTGTAATTGGTCTGTAGGGCTTGTGTTGATGTACTGCACAAAGATGTGTTTTGGCCTTGGTCAGTAGTTCTAAGTCTCCTTCTCCTTTTTGATAATGATTAATGGACTTAAAATGTTCCTCTTGTGCTCAGTTATCACGTACCAGGGTAAACCACTTACCTCTTCATTCCCAGTGCGTTGAGTCATGATAAATAAAGTGGAATGTTCCACCAATCGGCCGCAAAATCCTTTGCCCTCTATGAGGGCCACAGTTTAAATATTTTATTTTCTTCTCCTCTGTTCAGGTTATAAATCATTTTAATGGTGGTTTCAGTAATTTATGCTTAACTTTCTTGTCATCTGCCTAATGGCTTAGATCAAAGCTGGACAAATTCAGAAACTTGGACTCAAGTGCTTTCTCTAAGGCCTTGGCAGACGTTCATTTGTAGAGCTATAGAGTGCTTCAGCTGCCTGCATGTCCCAGTGGCAACAGCTGTTGCTGCCTCCACAGACCAACCAGTTCTTCAGCGACAGATCAGCTGGTTGGTGGAGCAGGGCACCAGCAGCTCTGTACCAGCTCTGCTCCCTGTGGGTGTCTGGAAGTGGGGGAGAGAAGGCAGAGCACTCTGGGATGCTGGGGGTCTGAGAGGCAACATGAAACTATTGACATGTTGCATGTAGCGCTGCACAAGGTGGTGCTGCAAGGAAGTTCCTGTTTGTGGCAGTTCCACCATCTTTGTAGCACTACAAACAGCCTGGCCATATGGACACTCACTTTTTGTAACGCTAGAATGGCAACAAAAGTATAAGCACTGCAAAAGTAACGTGCATCCAAGGCCTAAGAAATGGTTATTTTGGATGAACTTGTGCACAAACCAAAATGACACAATAGGCAATTGACACAAGATTTTGCTTTGTTCCTTTATTTTGAAATAACATTTTAAACCGTTGTTCTTTGCTGCAACGTGACAAAATGCCAAGGACTGTGACAGACATTTTCTCTGTCATTATTCAGCTCCAAAATCGCTACAGGGAGCATATTTCCTTGCTTTTTTGATCCCAGCCATTTCAGTTTACATTTCATTATGAATAACCTTAGCACATTTTGCAGTGAGTCTTGCAGTACAAGCAGTGTGACATGGCTTTCTTGTTAAAAGAAACAGAAGTGTTTTTTTGCTTGAGCGCGATGATCAAAGATTTCCAAATTGTTTGTTTTTATTGCAGGAACCATTGTGGGTTGCTAGAATTGGCCATGCTGTTTGGTATGAATACAGCCTTACTTGGTGCAGATGGTGGCTTCCAATGGGGTTGTGAGGGTTTACCCCAGTTGGGAATGTAAATGTTATTGGAGCCATACTGATCCTCATTTCATTTGAATGTGATGGTTGACTGGTTCTCAGGCCTGGCTGAACTGAGCTGGTCACAGGAAATGAGAGGCAGGACAAAGGTGGCCTTAAGCCCTTGTGGCTGTATAATTTTCTGGTTGGTTCAGACTTCATGCTCTGTGTTAGAGCAGTCCCAGGGAGGAGGGAGAAAGTAGGGTCACTTATGGCTTCAGGAGGCCATGCTAGAACTTGAAAGGCTCTGAGGCATAGAGTTACTACTTCCATGCTCCTGTTCATCTTCCTATGATCCTTTCACCTAGACTGGTGCCAGAGAAGTTCCCAGATGTCTAGATCTACCAGGTTTATGTTCTCCTAGTGGTGTTAGAGCAACACAAATGGCTCTACCAGGAGATAAGTATTGGGTTAATTATTACTAAATTCAAAAGCTGGCTAAATGTTTTTTGATAGCTTCTTCCATTTAATAATTCCCCATTTGTGATGGTAGTTGGACATCTAAGGTCACTGACACTTGAGTCAAGAGGTGAAATGCGAGACATAAACTTGCAAACAATGTATGATGGTAGATGTACTTCTGAAGGTGTGAGGAAAGAGCAGGCGTGTATATGAAAACGCAGGCACCCGAGGGCAAGATAAAATAGCCTCAGACTCATCCACAGGTAGATGTACCCCTGTTGTGGAGCTGATAAGATACTTTTAATGGATGTGTCATGTGTTTGCAGCTTTTAAAAAATCTTGGCTTGCCTCAGGTTATCCAATTTATGTGTCCGTAGTTATGGCTACGCGGTGGTATTTCTTTTGCTTCTTGATGGGATGAGGATGCAGATTTAAGGGTGAGATTTTTCAAAAGCTCTCTATGCTGATTTACCAGCCTGAGCTGTCTTACCTCACTGGAGCTATCGTGATGTGTAACAGCTGTGGAACTGGTCTGGTGCTTTTGTGTGGACAGCTTCCCATGGTTATAAGAAGATTCTCATTATTTCAGTATTCAAAACAACTGGCTGTTAAAATTGACACCCTGGATTTACACCCTTCACTTGGTTGTAATGTGCCAGGGAAATGATGCCCTCTAGCTTTGTATATATGCAATTTTAAAATCCAGAACATGTGATTCACCAATGGAAATAGGAGGGTTCAATTTTGATGGTCATAAACCATCCTGGAAGGAAAAATGTGGGCTGCTTTTTGCTAGAAAATGGACTTTAAATCAACAACTGAAGCGGTGTCGGTTCATAAAACTAAGGGGATTTTTAGCCTTGAGGACAGAGGCAGTTTAAATTCTCAGCCTTCAGGTTCACTGATCTGCTCGAGAACAATCATAAAACTTTAGTGAGTAGGACTCCAAATCAGAGCATATTTTTGCACTGAGATAATTCAAGGCAGTCCTTTAGCTTTTCCTCACTAGTTATGACACTTTCTTACATTTTAATGATTTGGAGAGCTACGAAAAATCTTATGACCCCAGACATTACAGGAGGGAAAATTGTTTACCATGATACTCGAGCTCATTGAGATGTTGTTGTCTGCAGCTGGAATGGAGAGGGAAATGGTTGAAATAGAAAGATTGCCCCCGTTAAAAGCCTCTCAAGAGCAGCACTTCAGAGGCTCAGATTTCATCACCTTTCCCCAGGCTGAGGGAGATTTGGATTCACATTCAAACCTTTTTACATTGATAAAGATTGTATAGGTTCTTTGATGAAAAGGAGAATAAAACCCATTGATTTCACTGGTATGATTCACAGGGTATGGTATTGGTTGCTCAGCCCAGTTCAGCAAACCCCTTGACCGCATAGGTTAGTCCCATTTCAGTCAATGAGATTTAAATATGGGTTTAAAAAGGAGGATGTGCATTCATGCTTTGCCGAATGGGGCTATCAAAAGGTGGAGATGTCACAGCCCGATCCGGAAGGTACAGGACATGGGGTTTCTTTTTTGGATGGGACCCTATTTCCCTGGATCCATCCAACCCTGGCTTTTCATCAGCTGCTTGACAGGTGGATGTTTGGTGGGACTTGTTGCTGTTCCCCAGTTAAGGCTCTGCACAAGACTAACTCATGGAGCCTTTTTATTTTCCCTCTGTTCAAAATGGATTGCTTATCTATATGTTGATGGCAACTGCTCCTTCATTTCATGGCAAATGCCACTGCCAGAATAGTAATCAGAACCTCTTCTCTGCGTAGATGGCTAGGTCATTACGTTTGGGGGTCAGCTATTATTTATTTGCAGATTAAATGTCCTCTGGCTATACTAAACTTGAGAGCACAAATGTCATGTCCTTGCTCTTTAATTACGTGCATGCTTCCATGAGAATACCTTACAACTGCATGTTAGAGGCAATGCCATCTTCATCCTCAGCATAGCAGGTAATCAACAGAAGAAGGATGAATTTGGTGGTAGTGGGAAGTTTTAATGGCACTTACCAACTATTTCTGGGGGTTCACAAAGCTGGTCAACCCAAGCAGCATACATGTTTGACAAGGTCGTCATTTCTTCTCTCTCCTTTTACCTCTGTCACAATTCTCACACACTTTCTCTGCTTCTCCATTTTTTTTCACCTTTTCTTCCTCATGATTTTCCTTTCTTCTTTCTATTTGTATCAAATAGCTTCACCAGTTTTAGCAACCCACAAGTGTTCCTTCAGTGGAAACAAATGTAATTCAGAAATCTTTGTTCACTAAGCAGATTGCAAGCCTGGTAATTTTAGGAAGGCATTTTCAAACAGAATGTTTGAAAAGATTTGAAATAAGAGAAACTAGGTCTCCTGAACATGCACGTTATATATTTTTCTCTCTCTCGTGCCAACACACATGGATGCATGCACGCATGTGTGTGTGTGTGCGTACACCCACACACACTTACAGAGGAAATGATGATGGTCAAATCCTTCAGTCTTTACTCATTGAAAACTCCCATTCCCACAAATGCCAGTGGAATTTTTGATGGAGTGAGTACTGGAGAACTTGGTCCATCGCTGTATCCTGGAGCATTGCTAAAACTGCTGGTACGGGCTTCCCTTGGTATTGTAGTTCACAGTGTGGGAGGATAGATATTTTGGGCAGGAAGCCCTTCTTACTCTTTCTAACAAGCTTGGATGCCTTACAGGAAGGAATAATGTTTTCAGGGTTTATTTATTTACTTTTCAGGTTCCAGCCAGCAGTGGGTTTGATGGAGAGGATCCAAGCTATTGCTCAGAATGTCTCTGACATAGCAATAAAAGTAGACCAGATTCTGCGCAACAGCCTCATGAATGGAAAAGGTAAGAGTGCCTTGGGGTTCCTGACCCTCCATCTGTCCTACACACTGGATATACCCATACGCAGAGCAACATTTTAGTGCCGCACAGATTTTTTAACGGAAAATTGTTCCATATCCAACCACAAAAGGTTTGGATGAGGACACAGGAATTTGGATGCTGTACTTGTTACCCAAATCATTCATGTCTTCAAAATTAAACTGGACAAAATTAGACCGGACATCTCCTGAGAACGGGCTGCCTGGCAAGATTCATAGCACTTCCTGCATTTGACTCTGTGTGAATTTATTGCACACACAAGGTGGAGAAGTAGCAGGTCTGGGAGCCCTGTCCCCAGAGTAGGTACAGCACAAGCAAGAACACTGCTTGAATACACTTACTGCTTCATCAGTGAGTCTCCGAATTCACCTGGCAAGCCCATGTTGACGCCTAGAAGGGCAGTTCATTCTGCACAGCTGAGTCAGGACAAGGTCTCTGGTTGTCAGGAGTCAGCAGTGACTTTGGATATCTCATTTTTGAGTGCCCAACTGGAGACAATGTAATGGGGCTTGATTTTCAGAAGGCAGGTGCTTTAAGGTGGACAGGAACACGCTTTTGAAAATCTTGGCCTTATCTTCCTTGCTGGAAATAGTGACGCAGAGCAGTATATAGTGTCATGGATATATAGCCACTGGGAACTGAGCTGAGACTCCCAGAACTTTTCTCATTTTCAGAACAACACCTAGATCAACCCTATGTTAGGTATTTCTAAGATGCCCATCAATCACGCAGTTAATCCTGGCCTAAAGGGGGAGGCAGGCGGTCCTCTAAGCCGTATTCTGATGGGTCCATGGAGGATATTCTGGTATCATTTTGGCTCTGGTCCTACCCAGGAGGGAAAAACCCTCATATCTCCAAAGGTATCCAGTTTGGATCATCACACATTTTGGACCACCTGCACAGTGGAGGATTATAGGGTGCAATTTTCAAAAGAGTCCAAGACCCTTTGAATATTAATGAGTTAATGCTAGTAAAGCACCCTGACCACCTAATCAAATGAGCCTGTAGTACAGGTCCCCCTCCATGCCTGATTCATAGGGGATACCGGTTTGCTACAGCCCCACCTATACAGCATCAATACAAGCTGTTGCAACTCATGCCTTTTGGGTCACAAGATCCCCCATTCAACCTCTCGTATGTCAGCCAAGATGGTAGCCATCATACTAATATTCAGAATTGCAAAGCTGTTCCCTTAGTAAGCCATTACTTGCAGGACACACATTTATAGTCTAGTATACACACTCCCGTGGCGTGATGAGGCACACCACAGCACACTCCTAGTGTGTATAAATCGGCTGTTAGATGCACACCCTGGAGAATGCTATTGTGCTTCTAAAATAATTTAAAACATGTATTTTAGTCATGCAGCTGTAATACATTCATTTAATATTAATCCATCTAATATTAATCCTCCACCACAGGCTTGGTCTCTCAATCATCTCTTATGAGCAAGAACAAAAACAGTTAGGGCTTAAGGTGAGCAGAGAAAAGAGAAAGGACAAGTCAAGAATGTCCTAGAGCAGGCTTCTGATCCACCTAGGTTTTGCAGTGACCTTTTAGCCACAGGTATAGATATAAAAAGTATGATTACTCTATGCAGCCATTTGGTTGGGGGTCACTGAATGACCAAATATTTCATCTCAGGGTGCTCCCACTCTTAAGTAACACCCCCCTTCCCCACATTGGGTTCCTAAACATGAGTGGGCCCCTTAAATTTTTCCTAATGATGGGATAAAATCTGATCTAGAGTACTACTCTTAGCAAAGCACCCAAGGAATCAGCATGTGAGCCTGCTGCCCTCTTTGTCTCCCTGCAGAGCTGGAGCCGTTACCTTACTGAATCAAATCAGATGCCTAGAAATGGCAAACACGTTTGATTAAAAACCCAAGATTAATGCAGCGGGCATGAGAGCATTTCATGAATGGCTTCCTCGGCATGTGCTCCGGCCGTCCCTGGAGTATGAAATATTTATCATCCTGCTAATTTTTCTTCCTCTGGCCAGGGAAGCTGCCTGTTCCAAGCAGCCTCAGCTGTCTTCTCCTCCATGCTAGGATGGGTGTAGG